AGAGAAGAAAGAGAAGGCGAGAGAGAGAGAGAGAGAGAGAGAAGAAAGAGAAAGCGTGCGCGCGAGAGAGAGAGGTACATGGACAGGTACATGGACAGGTACATGGACAGGTACGTTGACAGGTACATGGACAGGTACATGGACAAGTACGTGGACAGGTACGTGGACAGGTACGTGGACAGGTACATGAACAGGTACATGGACAGGTACGTGGCCAGGTAGGTACATGGACAGGTACATGGACAGGTACATGGACAGGTACATGGACAGGTAGGTACATGGACAGGTACATGGACTCACCCGCTCATGACTACTGCATCATCAAACAGGTAGATCTTCATATGCTGCAGACCCACGGTCTCACTGAACTTGCCTCTGAAATCCACGACCAGTGATTAAAGACTAATCAACTATCAATCAATCAATCAATCAATCAATCAATCAATCAATCAATCAATTACTCACTCAGTGTTACCCAGTGTCTCCTCTCCTCGGGTGTACAATGATACGACCTCTAGAGAACGAACCCCTGTCTATAAAGGACATTTCTATGATTCCCTTCCAGTGACCTTTTATATACACGGCACGGACTAATATTCTTGTTCGCTTATAAGGTATATTATATATATATATATATATATATATATATATATATATATACATATATAAGGTACATCCACAGCTCCAACATTCTCATACTCGTGTTCTTACCTGAGGAGGAACTTGTACATGCCGCGCAGGTCGGGCGTGTGGTACAGCGCCACCTGGACGCTGTCGGCGAAATCTCTCAGCAGCGGCAGGAGCATCGTCCGCGACGACTTGCCGCCGTGGTCTTCCCGCGACCCTCGCGTGTAGTCCAGCAGCATGCGAACCTGCAGAGGTTCGGGTCCCCGTGAAGACTGCTCCAGGGCCTCGTACACGCAGTCTACCTGGGAACATACAGTCAGTCACCCGTGACCATCCAGGTCTCGACTCGTCTGTCCCGCGGGTGACCGGACAAGCGGTTACAGTTCTAAAGACGGTGCGCGGCACCGAAGTAACGTAAGAAGTTGAGGTTTTCGCGCGGATGTGTGAAGCACGTATACAGACATGCTCAGCTTTGACTGACCTGGCATACACCCAATCACCGAGCTGCGGGAACGTTCTAAAGACGGTGTTCGGCACCGAAGTAACGGAAAGCCGAGATTTTGGACGCGCGTAGCACGCATAGAAACATGCTCAGCTTGACCAGACCAGGCAACGATATTCGAGCATAAGGGGAGGAGGGAGAGCGTGGTTACAACGCTCAGACACATTAAGTGTGGCTGAAGGGGTCGTTGTCGTATATGTAGCCGAGTGTAGTACCCGAGGTGTCGGCGAGTACGCCTACGCCTACTCCCTACCCCTAACCCTAACCCTAACACTCTAACCATATCAAATAGTTACCTCGGGTACATATTATGATATTATACGCCATTATACGACAACAACCCTTCGTGCTTAAGTGTGTGTCGCACTTCCTGACATGCCCATAAACTCATGTCAAACGGAATCAGGACGCTTTGACGAAAATTTGGGAATTTTTCGAAAATTTTGATTCCCCCGACGCGAAGCCGACGAGCGAAACAAGAGATCATCCGCTTTCGCAGCGAATTTCGCGTCTGCGTTAAACGCGCGGCTGCGGCGAAAACTCCCGGTCGGAAACAAACGACCGAATCCGACTTTCGAATCCGGATGATGATTTTAACTGACGACAAATTGATGAGATTGTCCACGACAATCGCACCGCCCCCCCCCCACCACCACCAACCGCCCCTTCCACGAGTTCGCCTACTTCGCATGCAAACGCCTGCACGCCTCCGCTACAAACGCTTCTGCTCCCCCCCCCACCCTCCTCCGCCGCCTCCGCCGCCTCCGCTGCCGCCCCATCCATCTTCTGTCTGGCACCGGCGGCGTGAGGAGACTGCGCGATTTGTGCAATTAAACAGTCATGATTTGAATTGCGTCCGATCTTAAGATTGATTCGAAAGCGATTAGGTTCGTTGTGTCCTCCTGCCGAAACTCTTATCGTATGCAAGCACGAGTTACAGACACACGCACGCACGCACACACACACACACACACATACATACATGCGCACACACACGCACACACACACACACACGCACACACACACACACACG